GTACGCAGGATTACTATTTAACCAAACGGACAAGCCAATCTTCATACCAGTTGCGCAAGTAAAGTGTTCTTACAACTATGGAAACCCCTACGGTTGTCTCCAGTTTTGAGGGCAGAGGGCAGGATACCTATGTAAGCCCCACTGGTTCGAAGGGCGGATCACATGACCGCCTCTTCACAATACCTGAAGTTACTCATCCAGACGCCGCTTGAAAGCAGCGTTGGTCACCTCTACCACTCACTGGAACGGAATTAAATATGGTTGTCGACCTCGGCGAGAGTCGTTAAATGAATGTCAGATCAGCCGACTGAAATTTCCGCCACGCGGGAGAGTGCTCCATTGTGTGTTGCTCTGTCCTCAGAGGGAAGTGATGCTGTAACTCAACCTATATCACTCCCCAGGGTCAGTTCTGCTCTATGGTTGCTAGACCCTAAATTTGCGCGTGGGAGATATCCGTCGTCTAGAAGTCTTCCCCTGCCGATGTTTATGTAGTTTGGCGCGGGTTGGATGGAGCGAGCGTGTAAGCAACTCTGAGGTAGAGTCGCTTATTAGCTAATGATTAGATGGCGAATTTGTCGTCCCATCGAATTCAGATTAATCGGTTTCGCTGGTTAGGACACGTATTGCGTATACCCAGTCATCGTCTACCGCACCTTGTTCGAGGATGCACTCTAGCCTCTACGCAACCAGACGCGAGCTACAAGGCAGCAGTATTGTTCCAGATAAGCCGGTGACCGGCCGGTTAGTTAATTCGTCTTCTCTTGTTGGGTTGATGGAATTTGACAAAGGGCAATGGCCGTATTCAGTGGCGGGCCACACTCACCACGTCACAGTGCTGTCATAAGATACATGTGGTGTTTTGTGTGGAGAACTCTTCCCAAGTGGTAAACTCACCACATCCTCGAGCACTGCCGCTGATCGGCCGCGACCGCTTATTCAGTGAGAATAAACCCACCTTATTCACAGTTAACCGCCACTTAGCGGCTGTTCCCCTATCCGCAACCTGGGGACGCGCTCGATAGCATACAGCTTTGCTCTTGCTGACCGCACTGCGCCTTACTCGCAGTCACCACTCCAGGTTGGAACAAGCCAAGTGGAGGTCAACAGATGACGTGGAAACGAGACCTGAACGAGAAATGCACCGAGCTATTAGGTAGTGTAGGTGTCACGCGACTTCCAGATTAGGGTCCGAAAGATTCCACAACTGGTTGGTTGGAGACATTGAAGGATATGGCAGCGAACCGACAACAGTGGCGTTCTTGTTGTCATTTCTTATCAGTTCTGAATGCTTGAAAAGTTATGTTTGCACACTTAGGTTATGTACTCTGTGTTGACTGTAGAGGCACACTTTCTTTGCCTCCCTCCAATTAGGCCCAGTCCCTCTCCATCTTGTGCTTTATCGCTTAATTTGTGTACCTAGTGAGCTTGGCAACGATCAGTGAAGCTCACTTCACTTCATCTCGCTGTACGATGATGATGATGATGAGAGGATCTTCCTCAGACAGATACGTAAAATCAGTCTCGACGCAAAGCTGCTCTTTCATCGATTCACTGTCTGCACTACCTTTACATGGGCTTGCAATTCATGGTTACTGGGATTGCGTGACACGAAAAAACTGAAAAGCTCCAACCCCTTGCCCCTGGCATATCGCAAATATTAAGTGGCATTATCGCGTTTCAAGCTTCACCGTCCGTCAGCACGTTTTCTTCAACGAAGCTGTCTTCCCTGTTTTGTTCCCATTCGCAGATCGGAAATATAAACTACTAGAGGAATCTTATCACTGCCGCTTTTTAGAAACGAACACGACCCCCAGCTAAACACATGAGTTCAGTTAAGCCGGGAGTGGATGGTACAATTCCCCATTCGGCTTTTGTAGAGCGCATTTGTTACGGCAGCTGGAGTTGACGATTCACCGACCTAGTCGCAGGTTGTGATGCATGAAAATCTATCATCAGACGTACCCAAGGTGCCAGCGTATCCTCATAGGAGATATTTGCATGAAAGTTAGAATAAAGACATCTTGGTAGGTCACCCCTACTTTCTGTGGATCGACCTCATCGGACTTCAGGACCGCATCACATAAAAGAAGTCAGTCACACAATCATATCCCGGTCGCAGTTCTTCAGCATCGCGGTAGCAAACATGTGTAATGTGCTATCTAGAGTTAATGAAATCTAGACCTTCGGGCTAACGCTCGATCGAAAATTGGATGAAATTGTTCTTGAGGACTAGTACTAAACACACTGCTCGTTATTAAAGCATAAACGCTCACATTCCGTCGTGTTTTGCCGTGTGCAAGATTAACTGTCATTTTTTTCTTTTAAGCTGGTCAACCAACAGACTACTCCACACATTGTTGGATCTCTGTGCATATTACCGTAGGAATTCAGGACACGAGCATCATCGTAGCCATTTTCTCTCATGTGTACACTGAGTTCAGTTCAGTTCAGTTTGTACAACCATTAACCATGCACTACCGTGCGCCGGTTTTGGTTGCTGTCTTTTGGCTGCCCATTTGGATGAACACAAGGAGAAAGACAGGAAAGATTGAAGGTAGGGTCAAGGAGAAAATTTAGGATTTCAGTGGACTAATGTTGCAGAGAAATTGATAAGATGCACGAACGACGTTGTTTACGACACTCAGCCATATCACTCAGTGTCTCTAACCATCAGTTATCATCATCCCGAGGTCCCCATCCAAGGAGCCTTACGGGACCTATGTGACCCAGACTCCCGGTTTGGGTTTTCATACCCTCATTCCAGGTCTTAGCTTGACCTCTCTTAACTTTCTTCCACCCACTACCTGCCTCAGCAAACATCGCTCGCCGTAGCAACCCATTTGGTGACATGCGTAACACATGCCCCAACTAACGTAATCTATGAAGGTCGATCACTTACTCCAGTAGGCGAACGCATTTACCGAAAACTCTGCGCCTAACCTCAGCATTGCTTGTTCGGCTGCCCCACCAGACTCGTGCAATGCTGCGTAGACAGCGTAGACAGTCTATCTTTATCCTGTTTTCCTAATGACCACGTTTCTGTGCCACAGCAGAACTGGCCGAACTGCTGCTGTATATGCTCGATCCTTCACAGACAACCGGATGTCGCGGCGGCGCCACAGATGTCTCAAGTTGGC